TATCTATCATTCTGCCCATAGTTGTTTCTGCTTATTGCTCATATCGTATATGAGCACATTTATTCATATGGTCATCTGTCTTCTATAGTTGCATTTATAGCATAACTTCTCATTAGTTAAGTCAAATTAAACAATCTGCCATTTCATTAGGTAGCCAAGGCAGTTTTAGAACCTACAGAATATTTCGCACTTGTTAATTATCTGATGATTTAAGTCCGCATTTTACTCGCTCAAATAATTTAATATCTGAACCAAGAGGCTCGAGCCTTTCGTATGGTGAGATAACTGCGTCTTACTAGCCTTAGTTGCAAAAAAACCATTGTAGTCACATTTGCCATTAGTTACTCGTTTAATGCTAACTCGGGTTTATTATCAATCGTCTTTCTAGTTCTCAGGCAGGCATAATCGAATCCAATTTCGCACCAAATACTTATCAGTCTTAAATGCGTCTTAATATGACTCATCAAGCGGTATCAGAAATTAATTTTTATTTTCACTCCAGATAATTATTTTTAGTTGCTTCATCGAGATGTCACGGGAAATAATTAGTCTTATTATCATTCAATAATGATGTGATTGTATGTATCTCCAACTGGATATACCCACAAAATCTATATTACTTACCAACCTTCTAATTATGATTTTTTATATTTTGCCGTTTTATAGGTCTTATTTTTCAATATGGACAATGTATTACGTTGAGAAAATAGTAGGCCTACTTTTGGAGTAATGATGCTATTAATTAATGTTCTTTTTTTTTAAATGTTAAGTGACAACTCGTTTTTACTAAAACTTTGTTAAGGCTTCCTGATTTTGACTGAGCTTTCTATCCAGCCCATATATTTCTCGTCATTTTCATCTTTCATTCCTAGTTCGATCTTATTTTCCCAGTATTTAGTGATCATATTCAACCCCCTTTGATAACTGACTTGCTCTCCAATTATTACCACAATTTTTTTTATTGTTCATAAAGCTTCAATATTTTATCAGCATCGTTTTTATTTGATGATATTTTTCTTAAATTATGTCAATCCCATCTAGTGGGTTATTTTGATATCAAATGGAGAATGAAAATTTTCAGCCCTACTACAATTCTTCCCCGACTGCTTAATATCAATCGATGGTATTTTCAATTTCTTTCGTCCGTGGCAATCAGCTGACTAAGCTAATCTTAGTTTAATTTCTGATTACCTATTAATCAAGCAATACACACGTTTCAAAGGCAATTGCATTTTTTATTGCAAGCCGATGCATTTATACCGTATGCGGATAAAATGTCTAAAGATTCATTTACAGTGTATATAAACGCAATTCATTGTAATTTTCCCCTACTGGTCTTGGCCTTGTCACCTTAAGCCTTATATTACTAAACTAAACTCTTGTCCAATTTTGTATCGAACTATTCGATTCGATTTTTTATCTAAGATGGTAGGATCTTGCCTAACAAGCTTAATTTATTTTACCGTTCTTTTCTAAACAGTCCGCAAATGCAGCTCACCTGCCAGGTTATTCTAATTCAGCATCTGGCACACTGGGTCACTGCTCGCCTTCACATAATCAACGACTCGCGCCACTTTACTCTAACCAACCATCTTTACATCAGCAACATCTTCAGAACAACCATCCGCTCTACTCACCTATTGCTCCCGGCCACTACGCTACTCACCCAGCTCCTGGGTTGGGCCAATCGCAAGCTTCTGGCACGTCTTCTGCCGATGCATTGCCATCCATTGTGCATTATCACTTGTCGGCACGTCAAACATCGGGTTATCGGGCTGCAGGGATGAATGTACATCAGAACCAATCACAACAGTTGCTGCAGCAACACCAGCAGCAACAAGCAGCAATGTTCCAAGCTCAGGGTCCGATTCAGCTTCATGTCCAGCAGCAGCAGCGCCAACAAAAGACATCAGGGGCGCTTGTGGCAGCACGCACCATGGCTAGTGTGTTCGCGGCTGCGGCTGCAGCCGCTAATGTCACCGGTGTTGCCAGCACTGACGATTTAGCTGTCCCAAAGAGCCATCTTCCCTCACATCCGCAGATACCTCAGACTCAACTCGCGCCACAATCTGGAAGACAACAGGCCCCCACTATCCTAATTGAGGCGGCATCTGAAGCTGCTGGCTCAATGCCGGTTCCAGTTTCAATGTCTATTCAGGTTCCAGTCTCACTTAATGTGTCTGTTCCTGCAGTGGTGCCTCAAGCAAACTCTTCCACCTGTAGTAATTCATATGGACAGCCCCCGCATCAGCAAGAGACAGCAAATGTGCTAGCAAGCACACTTCGCCATATGTTTGGCAGTGGCACTGTCGAAGCAACAGCTTCCTCTGCTCAAGAGCTTGCTGTAGCCAATCACTTGCTCTCTGGGATTCAGCACTCAGTCCTTCCTGCCGCTCAGCAACAACACCAACACTATTTCCAACAGGTAGGTGGGCAGCTTCAACCACAGAAGCAAAATCCACCATCGCAGCATCCTTTTCATCCTCAACATCATCCACAACCACAACTTCAGAAACAACAGCACCATCTTCATCTCTCTAACAATCAGTCTCAGTCGCTGGCACAAATACCAACTCTAGGGAGTGGACAACACCAGATACTCTCTCACCAGCCCCCAATGAACCAAGCCATGGCAGCAATGGTTGCTGCGCAACAGGTAATTTCTGCGTTATCTGCCAAGTACACTATTTTTTAACAGTATTGATATTTTATATAGTTAACTTGGCCTTTTTTTGCAACTTTTTCATGGTATGATGGTGAGCGCTCCTTTTACTTTGTCCTCTGGCATTTTTGTAAATCGCTCCCCTTGCCTTATATCCCATATTTCTAGGGCTTTCGTTTACATCTTAGCTGGCATTTCCTGTGAGAAGCATTTCTTAGTAACAAGCTGAGACCTATCAGTTCATCAGAAATCTCCATTTGCTCAGCATGCTTTATTCATTCATGTGGCCATTGGAATT